CATGTAATATTCTAATTTTCTGAGTTGGTGGATTTGGGGTTTTCATGAGCTGTAAGCCATAATCATCACAATTATGACAAATCTTGCTTTGCATGTAATGAGTCTTATCTCATATATTAGTTTCACCTTTTAAGTTGCACTACTGAAATAAATGAACTTTTGCACGATATTCTAATTTTTCGAGTTTCACCTATACATATATTCATTTACAGTATACGATAGGAATATATACATACTCTGTAGTATCAGAATTCAATAGTGTCGACTTCCTGGATAAGTTTTTGAATGATTTTTTTATTGTTGTGCTGTTTAAATCACATTTGGGTATTATGCTATGCTAATACTCAGCAAATGAATGCCTGGATAAAGCCGGCCAATGTTACTCAGATGATAGCTGCCTACTTGACACGCTCAGTGTCAATGTCTACAGGGAGCGAAGCCAATGAATATACAGTCCTATACATAAAAGCTTTCGCTCTGCAGATAACATTAGCAGCTGGATAACATCATGCCTGAAGGAACTTTAACAAAAGCCATATCAGCAGGCGTGTCTGCTGCACTCACCTTCTCTTTCACCTTCTCTTTCTCAACATTGTCACTGAGCTGTTGAATGGCACCTTTGAGTTGCATGATTTCTGTGTCTGTTGCTGTCAGTTTTTCACAGACAGCTCCTCTCTTCTCTTGAAATTTATTGCAGCATCTAGAAAATATTTTTAATATTTAGAAGCACCATCCACAAATTTAAGATTTACTTAATCTTTTTATGCAGAAAAAAGTGGGTCGTAAAAATTAAAAAAGCGAGGATGTTATGGTTTGTTGCTTAACGGTTGAAGGCCTTCCTACTAAGTTCCATTACTTCTATGTAATTTGGGGTATGGATTTGGGAAACATCAACGAGCCATAATTCTCAAAAGCAGACAAGACTGGAAAATGGTACAGTTCCTTCTACTTCACTGTTTAGTGGGATGAAGAAAAAAGAGAATGGTGTCGAATATTTCTGTATAACTTACAGATCAATTCCTTGAAATATCAGGTGGCAATAAAGGAACTACTTTAGTGACAATTTAGTCTCTTAGCAGTGGTGGGTTTCAATTTATTTTACTACCAGTTTGCCTGTGGAAGCTCGTGGAGAAGCGTCCGGGCGGGTGGGCAGAGTCTCCCGCTGCCACCACTACCGATTTGCCCGATCCAGGGCGAACTGGCAGAAACCCACCTCCGTCTCTTAGGAATGTTATCTGAATACAGCACTACCTCTGTTGTAAATATTGTCATGTGTCTCTATTGATGACAATAGAGGATCAAGCATAATTTCCCATTTGCTTGCATTCCTTTGGGATCCAAATCCCAATTTCCCAACAGAACTTGAAGTCTTTGATAATGAGAAAAATGACAGTGAAATTATGAATGATTCTGGAATAGCGAATAGTTTTTACTGAAGTTGTCATCATGAAGCTATTCCAGTGTTACTTTTCTCAGGGAGCTAAAGAAGAGAAAAGCAGCATGAAGTTCAAACTTTACTGAAAGTTATGTCTTCAAGAATATGCCTATTTACCAGAAAACAGTATATTTTAGTGTGTTTTCTTCAAATTACTAATTCTGCATTGAATTAAAGGTGCTGGCAGAATAAGCAGAATTAAACAACAATGTAAATGCCAGTATTCATACTCAGTTATTGCCTGTTTCTGCAGCTCAGCATTCTCATATATGTTTTTAAGTTTGATTTCAACAGCAGCAAGTTTTTCATGTTTCACTGTGACTATTCTCTTCAATGACATTTCTTCCGTCTTAGCATTCTTGAATCCACTTTTGCTATTCTCAATCTGGTCCTCTAACGTTCTGATCTGAAAAACAAGTGTTTTAGAATGCAAGCAACAGACATGTCATTAATTAGCGAAAATATCACTTCAAATGCTATCGAGCTAAACAAATGTAACATCGGAGTAATCCACATTTAGTAAGCAAATTTATTTTTGAAAAAAAGCTTTTGAAAGGGGTGTAATATTTACATAATATTTTTGCAAAGAAAAAACAATTATACATATACTGTAGATATTAATTATTGTTTCCCCAAGGTTATAAAGTCTACTTTTCAATTTTTTTAAAGAGTTGTTCTATTATGGGTTCTTAAAGAAATGTGCTATTCTGCTCATAACAGATTGGTAAATGAGCAATAAATATGCAATATGAAAACTCGTGCATTGTAGAACAGTATCTATTACCTTGCTATGAGTTTGTTTGGATGAGTTGCTTCTAGTAAAACTGGGGAATCTCAGGCAAAATATTACTCTGCCTCAATGTATCTTAAATATGATTTTGTCTTCCAATTCATTTCCCGCAGGGCTATAAGTTTTTTTTTCCAGTTCAAATTTAATATAAATTGAGAACAATGGGAGTAGGTAATGGGCTTCCATTACTTCCCTCTAATTTGAAGAGGAACACTGCAAACTTCAGCAAAGAATATGCATTTCCCTGTGTGTATGTTTGTGTGTGTGTGTGTGTGTTCATGTACGTGCTTACTTTGAAACAAGGAAGCAAAAAACGTCCTATTTCCTTTGAGTCCTCTGCTAACGCTGTACCGAATCCACAATTTATTTCAGACTATGTTCTACTAAGAATGAGTATCTCAAAATATTTTATCAACAAGTTGAATAGATGATATTATATTCGAATAGACAAACCTGGGCCAATATATTTGATAGTTTATCCATATTTGCTCCTTGTGTTTGCATTTTCTTTCTGTAAAATTGGACCTCCTGTTGACACGATGGAAACATCTCTACCAAGTCTCTATAAGACTCATACTTCTCGATTACTTCTTGCTTTATAATAAAAAAAAAAATCAGAATTGAGGAGATTGGTATGGATGGAGCTGCAACATTCATAATATACCTATAACCACATGAAACTGTCTAACTCTAATCAGTTGTGTTCCAAATCCAAAGTACCATAACCGCCAGCAATTCCTTTCTTCAATCTTTTATTTTTTCATAGAAAGTTTTCTACCATGTTACAGGTTATCTTATTTTTGATATAATAACTTTTCAGATACCAAATAACATTTCACATCTCAATCAATACCTTATAATCCTTTCTTTTCAATTTGGTTAGGATAAATATCAAGAAGAAAACCAAAACATTTTTTGAGTTTTTCTCTATAGAGGTTCATTAACATTTCTGTGCTTTGCAAGATACATGTCTGCCTTCAAGGCAAGCCATTATTTTTCTCCATGATATAACAACTTTCTTCTCAGTTAGTGCCTGTTTTTCCCAGAGATACTTATCACTGGCATCCCACCTTCTAGTTCTATCCTTGACTTTTACAGCTACAACTCTGGACTCATTTTCTACTTTAACTGGAATTGGCTGCACCCTGGCTTCAAGAAAAGATTTCATCTATTCTGTATTTCTCCCAGATCTTGTGTGCAAACTGTTCAGTATGAGCATTATATCTGCCTTAGTTGTTTGACTTATACATTTTGTTATTAAATCAGCTGTAAATTTGCTGCTGCATTAATGCTGCTGCGCCACCAATCCGTCGCTTCTGGAATCTCCCTTGTCCTCCAGTTTGTAGGTGATCGTGCATTGCCTCACCCGCAGTGTGCGGCCTGGGGTTCCCCCCCACCAGTGTCCAGTGTCTCGGGGGCTTGCGATAACGCAGCAAGCACAGCTCGTGCTAAAGCAAGACTAGAGAGGTGCAGGAGATAGGAGGCTTAAGGAAGCAACTTAGAAGGAAGGGGAAAGGTTGTACTGAGGAGAATCAACCAAAATAACTCCTTCTGGGCCGAAGACTGAGGTTAATCTGGAGAGTCATAAGGAGGAGCAGAGGGAGTGTCCTTAGATTTACCTCAGTCTCCGGGCAAATGGGCCATGTTAATACCCAGCTGTGACTCCTCCCACGTCCCACTTTGGAGACCAATACTAATCCTGAAGTACAGCTGAGTGACTGTGAGAACATACATTTAAATATTACTGTAGACACAGAAAAGCTAGAACAAAGTTGAAACACTTGTCAAATTTTGCACTAATGGATACTTTTTCATTGGCTTTCATTATTACAAATATGTAAGATAGAATCAACCGCATTAAGTTTGAAAAATGTATATTCTTATGAATTTAACTTCTTTTTAGGAATCCATAGAAGCTGAAGCTATGGGTAGCAAATCTGAGAAATATTGATTTTGTTATCAATTGTAATTGCTATAAATTATAAAAGAAAGCAAAAATACCCTTAATATTAAGCTTCACCTTGTCTTTTTTAATCTTCTGCTGTGTCTGCTTCATCCGTTCCCTGCAATTAGTGAGTTTCTCTGGAGACTCTGTAATCCTGGACTTCAGTTGCTCTTGTTCTTGTTTTAGATAACAAGCTTCCATTTTCAGATCATTCTGTTTATTGAGAATACAATTTTTTAAATCCTAATGCTTTCAGTCGTTTAGAATCATTTGATTTTCAAATAAATTTTAAGCAACTAAATTTTCAGTGTTTGTGAATACATTTTGGAGAGAAGGAATAAAAGCTCAACATATAGTTATTACATGATAATCAATAAATTATCCTGCAATAATAAATTGGACTGTTAATTTCCTCATAGGAAATATACAAAAAAGCATGCATAAAATAGATAGCAAGAAATTCTTAAATATAAAGTTCTTCATTTGACCAGATTTAAGATTGCATTTTCTTTAAATTAGTTTTATACTTAAATATTTTGTTAATATTTTCTCTATAGGTTTAAAGCTGGAGAGTGTTGTTGCCAAAATCAATTACACTTATTTATCCTTTTATACTGAATTACTGCAGTTTCTTTTTCTTCTTAAGGGACTTAGAGATTGCAGCACACACTCCCAAATGCGTAAAAGATTCTACTGAAGTGGGCCTCCAAACTTACATGCATGCATTGTGTTTGTGCTCTTGTGCACTGCTTATTGAACATAAGTGTTTATAGAGGTTGGATGGACATGTATTACAGATGCTAGTAGTGAATTTGAACAAAGAATTGGATTAGGTAACCTGTTAGGTCAGTTGCAATATTCTATGATGTTGTCAATGGTACATTATGTCTGTAATTGTTTGATGTGTTTGCCACAAGTTTTCTTTCTTCAAGGGTTAAAGGAAGATTTGTTGATTGATGAGAGTATGAGTTCGATTCTGTTCATGATTATTTTTTCTGATATGTATACTAAAGAGTAATTATGATAAATTCAATTTACATTTTGGATGGATATGGTTCCTAGGATCAGTCAGTCTGATAGAATGCAAATAGCTTTTTTTGACAGCCACCCAGCATCAGGCTGCTGAAAAGGAAAATAAAGGAACCCATTTCTTCCAATACTCGGATAGATGTTGAAAGAACATGATTCCTCTCCAGTGATCATTAGATGGCACCGAAGAGCCAGGATATTTTGTTCTGTTTTTGCCGTCATGTTGTGATCCCTGAGAATTTTGCAGCTTCAAAATTCTGCTGTTGCAGAATTTAGTACCATGATGGCGAACCTATGGCATGCATGCCACAGGTGGCATGCCAACCCATTTGTTAGGGCACGTGAGGCATTGCCCTGTCAGCTCCAGCATGAATGCGCACACTGGTCAGCTGACTTCAGCTTTCTTTTGAGGCCATTTTTCTCCCTCCGGAGGCTTCAGGGAAGACTACAAAAATTTTCATCAAAGTACTAATTTTGCATGGTTTCTATGAGTGAAAAGCTGATTAAACATGTAAATACAGCTTAAAAATGAAAGTGTGCAGGACTTTTTCACACAGCAGTAAGTATGAGCCAGCAGCAATCTAAAAACCAATGCAGTCCAGGGGTACATCAATAGAGGGCATCAAGATTACAAAAAAATGATAGTACCACTCTGTATTGCATTAGTGGAAGCCACACTTGGAATACTGTGTCCAGTCCTAGTCTTCATGAAACAAAAAAGATGCTGAGACTCTAGAAAGAATGCAGAGAACAACAACACAGATGATAAAGACTTTGGAGGCTAAATCATATGATAAATGGTTAAGGGAATAAGGTATGTCTAGCCTATTGAATAGAAGGATTAGGGATGGCATGATGGCTGTCTTCCAGTGCTTGAGGGGCTGTCACAAAAAAGTGAGGTTGGCTTATTCTCCAAATCACTGGAGGACAAGACAAGAAGGAATGAGTGTAAGATCATTAAAGAGCGATCCAAACTGGAACTAAGGAGAAATTTCTCAACTGTGAGAACAATTAATCAATGGAACAGTTTGCCTCCCAGCATTTTGGGCGCATCATCTTCAAGAGGTCTTCAAGAAAAGATTGGACAACCATTTATCTGGTATGATATAAAGTCTGCTCCTGGACAAGGGGTTGAACTAGAAGACCTCCAAAGTCCCTTCCAGCCGTATGATTCTAAAATATAGAAATATATGAAAAATATTTCAAAGAATCTCACATTATACAGTATGCAAACAATTATGAAGAGTATGATAAAACTCTTATCAGTTTTTGAAATTAGATTCTTAAATTTACTGGTCTTTGCTTGAATTCTACTTACTAAATTCTGATTTTTTTCTGCAATTTCCATTCTTTTTTGGTGGATCATTTCTTGCAAAACATTCTACAAAAAAATGCATGACAATTAAGAACATTTATTTGCAATTCTTATAATTTGTTCCAGCCCCAGATGATTTTAAGTGACAAATAGCAATATATAAAATAAAAATATTGAATTATAAAATCCAAACATTAAGCATAAAGGATCTAGGGGCCAATGGTTACTAAAACAATATAGGCTTGGCTTACTTACAGAATATTAACAAGGTATGGTATGGGAAGACAGAGTTTTAGAAAATGTGGCTGCCATGAGCTTGGGAAATCTAGATGACTCAAATGAATTTCAACCCTGCCAAAGTGTTGTGCAATATGTCATGGTGCTACACCATATACAGCTTTAAAGATAATGACCACTACATTAAATGAAGTCTAGATGCTTACTGGCAACCAATCCACAATTTTAGTATAGTTTTTATTCTTCATTGTCAAGGCTGTTCCAATCTTGCCACATTTTGTAGTAGCTGTACCTTCCATGTATCCAAAGGCAGCACCATCCAAAAGCACACTGCAGGAGCCCCATCTGGTTGTGATCAGGACATGAGTTGCTGTGGCCATGGCACCGTAGTACAGGTACAGCAGTAAGCGATACACAGACAAAAGCTGGAAGAAAGCTCTTCTGATCATGGTTTCCACCTGCTGCCTGAGCAGAAGCTGAGAATCCAGGAGCCAAGCCACGACCACCTCTTCAATGTTTGTTCTCAAATTACATCACTGCCTATGGCTTTGATTTATGATTCTGGGTGGCTAACAATAATTAGGAATAACTACTGGAACCAATAGTATAGATTCAATGCTTACTGACACCCAGAGGCTATTTCACGGTAGGATTTAATCTGAGCTTGTTTCTTCCCATCCAAGATTTCCATGGCATCTTGGCTTGAATCTGGTAAGCAATACATAGCTAAGTATCAACTGTATACCGATAACACTTTACCTGAACTGACAGATAATTTATCCCAGTAGTTTAATGTGAGATATACATATCCTTATTATTGGATATGTGACTCAATGGATCCTGCAGTGGTGTTCCCATTCATTTAAGACTCCCTCCCGATAATCATATGGACAATCCACTGAAATAAGAGATAAACCTCATTCCTAACTCCTGAATGTGAACTAGAATTATACCATGCTTAATGTTATCAAAAGCTGCTAATGGCTCTACAAAGATCAAGAGACTCCCCAAATCTAGCTCTCATGAAGGTCATCCACCAGAGCAAATAATTCTCTATTTGTTCCATTAATGAATCCCAACTGAAAAGGATCTAGATATTTTCATGTTTTCATTTCACCTTAGAATACCTTCAATTTTAATGATGCAGTTTTTTCTTCCATATTATGAAACATTTCTAGCAAGATTCTATTCTATAGATTCTATAGTTTATTCAACAAACCAAAGCTAGGAATCTTATTTTACAATGAGACATGAGCCAACTATTATAAGCATATGAGCCATACAAAGGAGAAAAGCCAATCCAATCAAGCTCCCCAGAAGCTGTTTATAATAGCTTTACTGGGAAATAGGGAAGAAATAACCTTAGTGTTATTTACTGCTATTCACTGTAAGTCAGACAGTGGATCAAAGTATAATTATAAGAATGGGAACATACAATCACAACAAATGTGGATGTTTTCTAAATCCTAAATCATTGATGTAATATTCTAAAAACGTAGCAAGTCACAGGAGAGGTAGTCATGACTGTAATGAGGCCTGCCCATCATGGTCATAAAATGGGTCAGTCATATGACCAACAAGATTTACCATTTTTTGCAGAGTCATTAAGCAAACACTGCAGTCATTAAGCAAACCAATGGTTCACTGGGGGCAGAGTTTTGTTGAAAACTGGAAGTAAATGCCAGGTTTTGGCAATTGTAAGATGCAATCACATGGCCATAAATGCTGCAAATGACTATCAATGCAGTCAGGGAGGGGGGTTGCAATCATCGTAGCTTCAAATCTGGGTCCAAAGTAGCCCCTGGTAGGTCCATCATTATTTCCAAGTTACTAAGCAATTTGTCATTAGTCAGGGTCTACCTGTATATATTTTACTACAAGTTCTCTTAAGCTGTTATGTAATGGACAGCTACAAGGCATAGCTGGTGGATATCGCATGAACTGTAGTAAGAACACATACTGTTTTTTGCCGATATTCTTGGTTAAGTTTATGCTGTAGTTCTTGAATTTCTTGAGACAGCTCCTTGAACTCTACTTCTTGGTCTGCAGGAACAATACTATATAGAAATAGTGCTCAGTTTAGAGAAAAATGAATTTTAAATATAAATTTAACATACAGAAGGTACATATTGTTTCACTTATTTAAAAAGCTACTTATTTTTGATGAAGGTACTTGGCAATCTTGCATTCTGCAATAATACAATATATTTAATGTAAAATTATACACACACACACACACACATACACATCTTTCTATAGATATTTGCTTAGACAATTTAAATTTAATACATAACATTAAAAAAATTTTAAGACAGAAGCGAGCTTGGAAATAACTTCACAAAGACTGGAAATATCTGTTGGACACAGACTTATTCTAAGACCACTAGAAATTTGATTATTAATTAAGGACTTCAGTTAAGAGCCCCTGAACATCACTGAATATTATTGAACATATAAAGTAATTTGAAGAGGCATGGATAACCTCCTGGTAAATTTGGCTTTTTGAATTAATGAACTCTGGACAGTGGACTAAAAAAGAGATTGACTAAACACTGACGCAATACAAGACAGAAGTGAGGAGAACCTAAACAGAATGGAGCTTTTTCAAAGCATTGAGAAAATATTTGATCATATAGACCAAAAATTGGGAAATTTAATACAAAGAATAAGGGACAATGATCAGGACAAGGAAGAAAGAATGGAGCTACCAAAAGAAACAGAGGAGAAAGCAGAGAGAAATCAGCAAGAAGATAATAATGAGATATTGCCAACACGAATAGTGATTAAAGAACTAAAAAAAGAGGGAAATAATGTTTAAGACTTAAAAAGGGAATGGGGGAAACAGGAAGAGAACTAGGGAAAAGAGAAAGGAGGTGGAATGGATAGTTCTGGAATTAGTGGGAAAGGGCAGAGTTGGGAGGAAAAGTTAGATTGCATAGTCAAATAGAGGGAATAATAGACCAAAGGGGCAAATATGGGGGGGAAACTAAAAAGAAAATAAGATCAAAGTTTCAGATGAGGGGTAAGAGACGATGGATAAGAAAAAATAGATTAAAATAATATTTTTATGAATATATTTCAATAATGTGTGTTAATATCAGAACTATGCAGGTTGGATTATCATTTTAACATTGTGATAGATATCAGGATATTTTAATATAAATAGATATGAAGAATTGGAAAAATAGATTTTGAATGACTGTACTACTAAATATGTACAGAAATATGAACAATGGAAGGTTTGGATTAGGGTTAATTAATGTTAACATATTAATATGTTAAGATATATAAAAGAAAGATGGTTGAGAGATGAAGAGTGATAGTAAAAGGCATGTATAAATAATGGAAATGAAATGTAATATTTAGGAATAGTAAGACTATGTTTATGTGTACTGAAATGTATGTTACCCACTTACCACACCATTCACACATTGTTATATATATAAAGAATATAAATAATAAAAATAAAATAAAAAATATTACAAATTCTATACCAGATAGAAAATACTTATGAATTAATTCTTAATAATTTTAATATTTATTCAGTAATTATCTTACTCCATCTTTTCCAGCTTCAGTGTTGCATTCTGGATTGCCACCTGAAGTTGTTGCTCTTTCTCCATTGCTGTTTTCTTTGAAAAAGAACAACTTATATTACACGCAATTCAACATATTATAGAAAAATTGCAACTGACTTTAAAAAGTGAAATTATACTGGTCAGAGTATATCCTTACTTAATACATTTAAGCCTATTTACTGCCTACAAATCAGGCTATAAAAGCTCCAGGTTTTGTCACACAGTTTGAACTGACAATATTGGCTACAGATACATGAAAGCAAGATATGTCTCCATGATTAACTAAATTAGAGAGGAATGGGAGAGAAATGTTACTTTCTCAATAGCAGCAGATCACATCTCAAAAATCTTTTCTTGTTCTTCAACAGGTCAAAATATTAAGAAGATGAATGTTCTTTAAACCTGAGGATAGGAGGACTTTCAGAAAAGCGATTCAACTTTTAAAGAATATTTGTAGCTCAGGATTGAAATGAGGGGTCCTTGTTGCTCTTTGAGCTCGGTTGTTTCCTTGCAGACATTTCTTTACCCAAACTAGGTAACATCATCATCATCAGAGCCGAGGTGGCGCAGTGGTTAGGGTGCAGTACTGCAGGCCACTTCAGCTGACTGTGATCTGCTGTTCAGCGGTTCAAATCTCACCGGCTCAAGGTCGACTCAGCTGTCCATCCTTCCGAGGTGGGTGAAATGAGGACCCAGACTGTGGGGGCAAGTTGCTGGCTCAATTTGCTAAAAAATTTGTAAACTGCTTAGAGAGGGCTGAAAGCCCTATTAAGCGGTATAGAAGTCAAATAAATAAATAAATAAAATAAATCATGTCTGCCAGCAGGGAATGGGGTTTGCTCTCATTTTATATTCTAATGGCTTGGCCTGTCACTATTGTTGTGAGTGGTCTTGGTGATTATTTTCTTGGGCATTTACTGTTAGCTTGTTTATCGGTTCCTGGATTTGGGGTATTGCTTGCTTTTTGATTGTTAGTTTAATGTTAATCTTGGTGTTCTTTGCTCCTCTGGGTTTTGATTCCTGGTGATGAGATGTTTTGGTCTTTTTATTTCCTTTTTGTCTCATTGATTATCTCTTTTGATTGGTATCTGTATAATTACTCTAAAAAGTGCATTATCATTGCTTGTGTACCTGACACGTAAATGATTAATGAAGAAGTGGTTATTCTAGTTATCCAATTTTTCAGTCTTAAGAAAAAACACCTTGTATTACAGGCAAGATGAGACAGCAGCAGCTTTGCAATGTAACTTTTACTGCTGAGAGAAAAAGGAAAGGAAGTATCCTTTCATCAAAAAGCTACATTAACTTTTTTATTCTCTTATTTGTCTGGAAGATTGCAGAACAAGTTAAACAATAACTCGATCATCAAATAAGGTTAATATTAATTAATATTTAACAAATTCCAAAGTTTGGCTTCTTGTCGAGCAGGCTGAATTTGTAAAAACTTGTATACTTTGTTTCTTTTTTAAATACTATTGAAATTTTTAGTTAACATAATAAATAGCAGTAGACTTATATACCGCTTCATAGGCCTTTCAGGCCTCTCTAAGCGGTTTACAGAGAGTCAGCATATTGCCCCCAACAATCTGGGTCCTCATTTTACCCACCTCGGAAGGATGGAAGGCTGAGTCAACCCTGAGCCGGTGAGATTTGAACCGCTGACCTGCTGATCTAGCAGTAGCCTGCAGTGCTGCATTTAACCACTGCGCCACCTTAGCTCTTAAAACTAATAGAAAAACTAATAGAAAATAAACTAGAAGGAAAAAGTAATTTCATGGGCATTTTATACAATGGTAGCTAAGCTGTTACTAAAGTGGTACAAAAAAAACATAATGACTAACAGATTAACAGCTAGAAAAGTAAAAACGTGAAATTAACTACTCAAAAGATGTAAGACGCTAGAATAACTTTTCCGCAATACGCTACACTTAATTAGTCAGAATTATCATTTCTGAAGATCTAACAAGGAAAAAAAAAAGAAAATTAATCTTACATGTACACTCTGGATTTCCAAGTAGATTTCGCGCCGTGAGTCACAGAAGAATAGAAAATTAAGAATACCACTCAAAAACCGAGCTGTCCTGTTTCCTTCTACAAAAAGAATGTTTAAAGACATCTATGGTTTAATAATTTTTTCAAAGAATTAAATTAAGATTTAAACTCCTATCTGTCTAAGAACAAACCACCCAGGAAGAAATGACATATGGCAACTAAGGAATCCATGAAAATGTTGAGTGCTTATTGAACTGTATACCAGAAATGCAACTTAAATGACTTTAGATGAGTTTTATTGGGTGCTGATTACATCTGAATGCAAGTCTTGTGTATATAAATAAAGGCAAGTACTGTATAATGCTGACCCTCTTCTTTGGTATTCCTAATGAAACATATAATTGAACTTGCAACCTTTGCAAATCCAATTCAGATTTCCATTTTTATATCTAATTTAGTACCTTTATACTTTTTAAAGAGGAAGATGGCTTGAATGGCTGTTACACAATTAAGAATCACATTCATTATCAAACAATTGCAAAATATCCAGTTGTTTACAGCAAAGAATCTCATTCTATCTATTTTGGAATTCATTTCTAAAAACAATAGTCCCCAGTTCTGAAATTGAATATGGGTGAAGCTAGGATTCTGAAAGTTTTATACAAATTTAATATTTGTTCTGATATTTTAAACAAATTAGAAGTAGTTTGTCAACTCTTTCACCGTGACTAGCAATTCAGTACAAATCAGCAGTAAACAAAATCAAATGCACTGTTCTCAAATGTGGAAGTAAATTCTTTATTAAATCATGAGTAAAACTGAACACAGTTGTCATTAATTTAAAGATACAGCCTGAAAAACTTTTCCATAGCCATGTATGATTTGACTAGGGCGGTTCCGGAGCCACATGCTGTACTTAATTATTCCAAATATTAAATGGGTAGAACTGAAGAAAATATAAATGTATTTCTTCTTACTGAAGTATACTGTAACTACTTCTTCCACATAATTGGCATTCCCGTTATAGGAGAAGCTACAGTCCTGTAAGTCAGACAGATCATACAGTCGTGGCTTGGTCTGGCAGCATGCTACCCTGATAAATTTCCATATGATTATACTAACCGTTGCCTTTGTGAAAATTAATATTGAAATGTAAACTTAATTATAAAAAAGATAAAATAAAATCTAGTGAACTAATTTTGGGTAAATAAAAATATATGACCATTTAAGTTATGAAGCATATACAATCTGGAAAAAAAACTAATGCTTACTTGGATGTACAATGTCTGCAAACTGGAAGTCATTGACACGACAGATGGGGAGAAACCGCGCCCTGTCAAAGTTTTTACATATTCTTTAATTAGATTACTTATAATGTTTACTTCAACAATATAATTCATAGTGTAATTGTTTGGTATTATATTACATAGGAAGATAATAAAGGAAACTATAACCTGAGTCTTAAATGTTACAAAATAGTGCTGCAGAGTCCTACTACTGTGTTTCCCTGAAAATAAGATCCTGTGTCACACACACACACACACACACACACATATATGTTGTATTTGTGCTGATAAATAAATAAAGGGAGACTAGTATAGATCTATTTCAAGCTATTTAGC